CAATAGGTACTCAGTTAACTGGTCGAATCAGTATCATCCAGAGAGTGCTAAGATAGGGCTGAACAAGGGTTCTGTCAGAATCCAGAGGAGTGATGTTAGTTCAACCCAAATGTTCAGGGAAGGCTTCTCAGAGGTGATGACTCTAGAGCCGAGAGTTGGACCAGATGGGGCACCCCTGCTCTTCCTCCTCTAGAACTCAGTGAGCGGGTTCCTGTCACCTAGGAATGAACGCCATACACAGTGATAGTGCTCCTGTCACTGAGGGGCCCCATCTCCTGGGTCAATGAGCTGGCCTTCCCTCCAGGGAGTGAGGAACCCGAGACCGGACGTGTTGACCAGTCTCTCCCTTCCCCAGGGTTACCTTCCTCCCACCAAGAATGGGGCTGAGCCCAAGAGGCCCAGCCGCCCCATCAACATCACTCCCCTGGCTCGACTCTCGGCCACTGTTCCCAACACCATCGTGGTGAACTGGTCATCTGAGTTCGGACGGGTGAGCATGGCTGCGTCGGAGGATGGAGAAGCCGGCAGTGCAGGGAGTGGGGAGGAATGTTTGGGAAGCCTCTTCCTCTCTGTGGGTCTCTCCGCTGTCCCTGGTCCTCATGGGACGAAGGGTCGGGGGTGGTGTGCAGAGCAGAGGCTAACTGTCTCCCCACCTCCAAGTAGAATTACTCCTTGTCTGTGTACCTGGTGAGGCAGCTGACGGCAGGGACCCTTCTACAGAAACTCAGAGCGAAGGGCATCCGGAACCCAGACCACTCCCGGGCACTGAGTGAGTAGCACCCTGCCCCTCTTCCCACGTCTTCCCGGCCCTCTAGCCTTTTGAATCAAACCCAGACCCCTCTGACGACAATTTACCTCACTTCTCACATTAACCTCAACCTCCCCTTACCCCCTTACCAATCAGTGGTGAAGTCGGACCCCTCCCAGGCACCACGTGACGCCCCTGCATTCCCTAACTCTGACTCCACTGGAATATGGGTTCTCCCCACTGGAAAGGATCTTTGGGGTCATCTACTCTCACCCTCTCCTGATGCTTCAGTTCCCTCTAGGTCATCTCTGCCAGAGTGTCACCAGCTGTATTTAAGCATCTTCAGGGATCGGGAGATCTCCCCACCCACACACTCACCCACATAGCCTTCATAATCCGATCTCAGACCACTCCCAGGTGACAGCCCGCTGGCCCCCAAAGGCTCGCTACCCAGGGGCCTCTCAGCCAGCGCCATCTGCTACCGGCCTCACCACCTGCCAGGCTTCCTCGCCAGCCTCGCTTGCCTCATGGCTCTGGCTTCACTCTTGTTTCAGTCAAGGAGAAACTGACCGCTGACCCGGACAGTGAGGTGGCCACCACAAGTCTCCGGGTGTCACTCATGTGCCCGGTGGGTACCAGGGAGAAGAGAAGGGGGAGGAGGGTTGGCTTAAACCTCTGGACTCAGAGGAGGCTGCCTGGGGCCACTAGAGTGAGGCTTTCTGGGGCGTGGGGCTCTGACCAGAGAACTCCTCTCTCCGCAGCTCGGGAAGATGCGCTTGACCGTCCCTTGTCGTGCCCTCACCTGCGCCCACCTGCAGAGCTTCGATGCTGCCCTGTATCTGCAGATGAATGAGAAGAAGCCAACGTGGACGTGTCCTGTGTGTGACAAGAAGGCTCCCTATGAATCTCTTATCATTGATGGGTAGGGCCACTCTGCTTTCCGTTTTGTCCTTTCCTAGGACAGCCACTGGGACTCACTCTCGCTCTCACATATATGCACGTGTACAGATATGTGTTTATGTGTGTATATACATATACATACACATATGTACTCTATCCCCTTTTATAGTATCTACTTACATATTCCCAACATTGAGGACTTACTATATGCTAGGCATGGCGCTGAGCACTCTGCACACCGGTTTCCTTGTGTCCTCATAATAACTGTGACAGAGGTACCATCCTTACAAGAGAGGAAACTGGGGCCTAGAGAGATGGAGTATTTTGCCCAAAGTTACATTATTAGTGAGTGGCAGAGCCACTGTAGCAAGCTATTATAGCGCTTACAACAACGACCAGACCTCTCACCAAGCCCAGCAATAAAGTTCTTTGAGGGCCTGGATATGCTGACCTAGCGAGTTCTCTGGCCCCTTCCAGACCTGCTTCACGGTTCTTGCTCCCAGGCCCTTTTCAAGGTGATGCGTGGAGTTCCCTATCTCTGCTCCTTGTTTTGTCCCTGGTACTACATGTCATAGATGCTTAGAAGATACTGTTTTAAAACTGTTTGCAAAACAAAACAAAACAAAAAACACAAAAAACTGTTTGTAAAGCTCTTTTACATGCAGTACTTGGTTCTAACAACTCAGCTCAGTGGGGGGGATCATATCCCCGTTTTACAGATGCGGAAACTGAGGTTCAGGAAGATGAGTAGCAGAATTTCCTGGCCGTTGTCCCTGCCAACTCCCAGTCCCATGAATTCCCTTCTCTCCCTCCCCCAGTTTATTCATGGAGATTCTTATGCTCCCAGGCCTTTTCAAGGTGATGCGTGGAGTTCCCTATCTCTGCTCCTTGTTTTGTCCCTGGTACTACATGTCATAGATGCTTAGAAGATACTTGTTTTAAAACTGTTTGCAAAACAAAACAAAACAAAACAAAAACACAAAAAACTGTTTGTAAAGCTCTTTTACATGGTTTTAAAACTGTTTGCAAAACAAAACAAAACAAAAAACACAAAAAACTGTTTGTAAAGCTCTTTTACATGCAGTACTTGGTTCTAACAACTCAGCTCAGTGGGGGGGATCATATCCCCGTTTTACAGATGCGGAAACTGAGGTTCAGGAAGATGAGTAGCAGAATTTCCTGGCCGTTGTCCCTGCCAACTCCCAGTCCCATGAATTCCCTTCTCTCCCTCCCCCAGTTTATTCATGGAGATTCTTAATTCCTGTTCGGACTGTGATGAGATCCAGTTCATGGAAGATGGATCCTGGTGCCCATTGAAACCCAAGAAGGAGGCATCTGAGGTTTGCCCCCCGCCAGGGTATGGGCTGGATGGTGAGTGACCCCCTGTCCCCCAGCTGAGCTAAGTCTTGAATGGCCTCTTCTCTGAGACACAGTCTCCTTGTCACCCACAGGCCCCCAGTACAGCCCAGTCCAAGAGGGCAATCCATCAGAGAATAAGAAGAAGGTTGAAGTTATTGACCTGACAATAGAAAGCTCATCAGATGAGGAGGACCTGCCCCCGACAAAGAAGCATTGTCCTGTCACCTCAGCTGCCATCCCGGCTCTGCCTGGAAGCAAAGGGTATGAGGAAATAGTCTGAACCTATTGCCGAAGGAACAGGAAAAAGTCCGGAGAGCTTTCTGGTCACGGGGCAAAGCCTGGTGCAGAGGGGACTCTGGGGGCCGAGCCGGGCGAGGGCATCGGGGGTCCGCTGGCTGCCCCAGCTCCTTGTCTCCTCACAGGGTCCTGGCATCTGGTCACCAGCCGGCGTCGTCGGTGCTACGGAGCCCTGCGATGGGGGCGCTGGGCGGCGAGTTCCTGTCCAGTCTCCCACTGCACGAGTACCCACCTGCCTTCCCCCTGGGGGCGGACATCCAAGGTAGGACGCGCCACCAAGTGGGGCCCCTCACTGTTCCATCCTCCCCGGAACCGGGTCAAAACCCGCTCCCTTAAAGAGCTTCCTGGGTCTCTGCAAAGGGCCACAATCCAGGGAACTCCTTTTTTTTTTTTTTTTTTTTTTTTTGCGGAGAAGGGATCAGACAGGAAGTTGATTTTAATTTTTTTCTTCCCAGGTTTAGATTTATTTTCTTTCCTTCAGACTGAAAGTCAGGTAAGTGATCCCTTCTCCTATGAAGATCTCAGGTTCCTGAAACTTCCTTTCTGGGCACTAGTGGGCACCCCCCTCTCTCACTTTCCCTGTGAACCTAAATCAGCTTCTCTGAGAGAGAAGAGGGGGTGGAACAGGCAGTTTATTTCCCTCCGAGGCCCCCCTAGTACTTCCTCAGATTCTCACCTACGTCTTCCTCGATCCCTATTGCTGTTCTCTCTCCAGATTTCAGTATAGTCTGCCCCTCGCCGGCTCACCCTCCGTGCCCATGTGCACTGAGCTCCATGCCTGCCTCCTCCGGACATTCCTCACTTCAGACCCCCACAAGGCAGGGAGTCAGGGTGGGTGTGGGAAAGTAGGGAAAGAATCAGAGAGGCTCCCCTGCTTCTCAGAGAAGAACTCGGGACCCAGCGGGGTTGCTTTATCCAGGATGTTTCCGAGATGAGTGGTGGGAGGCAGGTAAAGAACGGATAAAACCTTACACTGTGCCCTTGATTCCCCCAGCACTACGGCCCCTCCGTCATCACCTCGCTAGATGAGCAGGATGCCCTTGGCCATTTCTTCCAGTACCGAGGGACCCCTTCCCACTTCCTGGGCCCATTAGCCCCCGCACTGGGGAACTCTCACCGCAGCACCACTCCAGCACCCCCTCCTGGCCGTGTCAGTAGCATTGTGGCTCCTGGGGGGGCCTTGAGGGAGGGGCACGGAGGACCCCTGCCCCCAGGTCCCTCTTTGACTGGCTGCAGGTCAGACATCATTTCCCTGGACTGAGTCCCCTGGATTATGGAACCTTCACTGTCTCCCAGCAAGGATGGGCAAGGATGCTGTGGAGTCCAGAGCCCTGGCCACTCTGCCCCTGAGGGGGGGTTGGCCACAGGCAAGAAAGACCTTCACAGACACTAGTTTTTGGCCTCATTTCTGCCTGACAAGGCCGGCATCCAAAGGGTTAATATTTAACCTCTTTTAAAGGACATTGGGTCCTTCCTACTTTTTGAAGTGTTCTTGAGATGGCTGGCATATTCCTTTGGGTATGTTAGCGAAGGCAGTGGGAGGCAGATGGGATGGGGTGGGAGTTGCGGGAAGGGCTGAATTCTATGCCCTCTCTTCCCAGTCCCCGAACCATGGCTCAGTTCCGTCCCCAGAGCCACTGTCTGTTCATGTCCATCCGTTCTCTTTGGCCAAACAGACAGGTGGAGAACTAAGACAGACAGACACTTGGACAGAGAACTCTATTTTGGGTTGTAGATTTTTTTGTACATAACAAGGAAAACCAAAATACATCCAAAGACGACTTCCCCTGCCTCCTACTTCCCAGTGTATCTCCCTGAGGCGGAGACAAGGCCTTAGCCCTGACCCCCAGGAGTCTGGGAGCAGGGCCCGGCCGATGCCTGGGGCTCTATTTATATATTTAAGTTCACAGTGTTTCTCACGCTGACCAGCCCAGCGCCTGGAGCCTCCAAAGGCCCGCAGCCTGTGGTGAGGTCTGGCTGACTCTGCACCTTTCCTGGGAGGTGGGAGGACCCTTGTGTTGTCCCCAGTCTCCTTTTTCAGGCTCCTCCAGGGCCTAGGACCTCTGTTGTAATTTTACTTTTTATTCCCAAAGTTGTAGCAAAGTTCTTACCCATAATAAAGGTTGTGAATCTTCTGTGTCATAGAGGTGGGCTGGGGAGGGGATTATGCACTTGGTTTTCCAGGTCCCTGGTTTGGGGGGAGGGGGTCCACGTTCTGTTCTTCCTTTGCAGGCCCAGGGTCCACAGGAGCTCCAGTTGCACGTGGTAGGGGCGTCACCCTGAGGGTTCCCAAGGGCAGTTGTTCTTCCTCCCCGGCCCCCACCCCGTGCTCTAGTGCCTTCAGCCCAGTACTGGGGAACCCTCCCTCACCTGCCCAGGTGTTGCAGCCAGAGCCTGAGGGCAAACTTGGTTCCAGTGCTGACCCTCTCTTTGCCTTCTGCGGTGGCCGGGGTCATCTGCAGCAGTGTGGACATGGGCAGGGCCAGAGGTCGGACTTCTCCTCCCTCCTCCAGTTCCATGGCACTGCACAACGACAACCCGTGCGTGAGCTCTGGCTTAGCCACTTCCATAGCCGTTAGGCCGTCTAACGCCCCCCGGCCCACCAACCACCCCTGGAGAGGGGTGGGTGGTGGGTACCTCCTTGTACAGAAAGGAAACAGGTTCAGGGAGGTCAAATGGCGCCCCTATGGGAGAGGGGGCACAAACCCAGGTCTTCAGGGCCCGTCAGAGCAGGAAGCCTTGGCGTTTCGAAGGACGGTGTCTTTGATCTGTGTTCTCTTCATTATCAGTTGACCAACTCACCCCCTAATCCAGGGGTCCTCAAACTTTTTAAACAGGGGGCCAGTTCACTGTCCCTCAGACCGTTGGAGGGCCGGACTATAGTTTTAAAAAAAACTATGAACAAATTCCTATGCACACTGCACATATCTTATTTTGAAGTAAAAAAACAAAACGGGAACAAATACAACATTTGTATTGCATGTGGCCCGCGGGCCGTAGTTTGAGGACCCCTGCCCTAATCTCTCCCATCACTCAAGTCCCCCTCACCCCCAGGAAACAGCAGCTTTTTTTCAATGTGTATGTGTTGGTGTGTGGGAGGGTCAGGGAGCAGCTCTTACTTACACAACAGAGGGTGGCAGGTCCTGGGAGAGAGGTCTGGGTGCCTCTGTCCCATCCTCGGAGGCGGCCACTGCAGCTGCTACCTCTGGGCCCAGCCATAGGAAGGCGCTCACCTCACTTGGGTTTGGTTGGATCCGGGCCTGGGGCCAGACATGTTGATCCCTTTATCGTGGCCTCTGGCAGGAGGCCTGTTCTGATCACAACCACCCACTGGTGGATGGAGAGGAACTTGGGGCCGGGAGGAAGGCTTCCCCTGACACCCCCTGAACCCCCAACCTTAGTCACAGTGAGACCAGCCTGCTTGGGCCTCCTGAGCCCGGTACCTTTCCTCCCCCACCAGTCCTACCTGCAGCTGCTGCTGCGACTCCTGGGAGACCACCAGCAGGTAGAGAACGATATGATGGTATTTGGGGAGACCCCAGCTCAGCCTAGGAGGGTAGGCGGACTAAGAAGAAAATGGCAAAAATGAGAACTTCCTGTCTCTTCTTGAGATTGAAAATATAGCTGAGGAAGTGGAGGGTAGAGATGGCGCAGGAGGGACACGGGTGAGGAACACGGATTTGGGAACTCCAGATGACCCACTCTCCAAAGGCAGGCATGGCTGTTCCCTGGGTTCTGGTGGGGTGGAGGCGTGGGGGTTCTAGGTTAAACAGAGAGGCCCCTGTCTCACCTCCCATAACCCCAGGGGGACCCACGAGAACTGGCCCTGGGGCAGCTGCAGTCCACTCTCTTCCCAAAGCTCTCGGAGGCCTGCGTCCAGCAGCTGCAGAGAGAGGCCAGGTCAGACGCCAGGCCTGACCTCCGAGGCCTGGGCCCCGCCCCCGGCCGCACCCAGCGGGGTCCAGA